CACATAAGCAAAAAGAAAAAAGCTGGAAGTGGTGCTGTGGCTCAAGTGGTAGAGCGCTAGCCTTGAGCTGAAGAGCTGAGGGACAGTGCCCAGGCCGAGTTCAGGCCCCACGACCGGATCCAAAAAAAAGAAGGAATGCCTGCTACTTAATACTTATATAATATTATATAATAATATTATATATAATATAATATTATATAATAATATTATATATAATATAATAATAATGTTATATAATACATTCAAATCTTTCTTCTGCAGGTAACTAACACACCCATGAATTGTCTGTCATTTCTTTAAGATCAGCTGCTCTACAAACACACATTCACAAATTACCCAATGGATAGCGCTTATTGGAGGTTCTCCATACAGGATGCTCAATAAATGCTTACCAAAATAAAGAAATGAGGAAGTAGAGAGATAAAGAACACTCTTTATTTTGAATATATTTGCCTCCTTAGACTATTAAAATGTGCTCTTTTAATCAAATATGTTAAAGATCATGAAGGCTAATCCTGAGAAAGAAGAGGCGTGTCATGTAAACAGTATTATTAGGCAGAATCTAAACCTACTTTGGAATTCCTAACTCATTGCCACCAGCAACACATGGAGCCATTCTAAATTTAAAAATAATAATAAACCATCTTACTCTTGGAAAATATCTACTATGATAATGTTGTACCCTAAATCAGATATATAAATCAAGTCATGAGAAAATAGAGAAGCCGCCTTTAGAGAGGTCGAAGTTTGGAGTCTGTTAGTGGTCCAGTGACTATCCTGGCAAGACTAAGAGCAAACTCCAATAGGGCAGAGCTTAGAAAGACCAGAACTACATGCAGGTGGCAGGTCACCAATGCTCAAAGATTATTAGAAGTGGGGATATTCTTCAGCTGATGGTCAGGACCAGGTGGACAGCATGGAGATATGAGTCTGGGGGTGGGAGCTAACAAAAACTGAAAAACTGGGTTCTTAACAATAGTATCGCTCTGTCCATGTCCAAAGTTTAGTCCTGCCTACAACCACTTCCTAAGTCACTAGAACCTTTTTTATCCTTTTTTTTACTATAGCTTATCAATAGTGATCTAACCCAAAGCCAGCACTAGTAGCCAGAAGCCTACAAGCTAAATTGCAAAGCTTTCCCCAACAAAACCAATAGCTAAACACGAGACACACAAATTCTCTCTTTCTTCCTTTTCTTTATTCCTGGCATCACTTTCTCAATTTGGACTTAAAATCCAAGGACTAGGAACATCGTTCATATGGCAGAGTACTTGCCTAACAAGCACACAGCCCAGTACTACCAAACAAAAAGGGGGGAAAAAGATGAATTTGAAATTCATAGCATACAAAAATACAGAACAACAAGATGTGGAGTTTTGAACCATGAAACATTATGACAAACTAAAAATAGTTGAAAGAAAAAACTGTAAGAAGACTAAAAAAAATTCATTGAGCTCCCACCCCCTGGATGCATACCTATAATCCCAGTTACAAAAGAGGCAGAGGTAGGAGGATCACTGTTCAAAGTCAGCCAGCACCAACTGGAGAGATGAAAGCTTAAATCAGACCCTCAAGAGGTAACTTAGTCCTACAAAGTCAGAGCACTGATAGAGGAAAGACTTGTGGCTCAACAAGATCGCAGTCTGCTGTCTTTTAAGTGTTCATGCTAACAAGGCTTCTGATTGTCCTGAGGCCCAGTTATACCACCTTTTGTAGATTTAGGGACACACATAGTTACCAAATAATCTTCCTTACCACAAAGGTTACCTAAATATCAATAACAAAATAACTTTGTTTCCATCTCAAGAAAGCAGCATGCTAAGAATACCAGATGTCAACTGTGTCCTTTGATACTAAACTAATAACAGTAGTAGCTTGGTTCTTCATAAGGTTAGGAAAGAAGGAGGGAATGGAAGGAAAGAGGGAGGGAGGGAGGGACTGAGGGAGGAAGGAAGGGCGGGAGGAAGGAAGGAAAGAAGGAAAGAAGGAAGGGAATTCCAATCATCCCTAATTACCTATCTTACTTGGAAAAGCATCAACCTACACTTCCAAATAGTTCAAAATGGAATTTGAAAGTTTCAGATGAGAAGAAAGATTGAATCGTATACTTTTGCTCTTTCAATCCTAATTTAAACTTCCCTAAAAGCAAAGTCCTCTCTTCAGCCACCTCCTCACATATCAGTTGGCCATCTGTGGTACACTGGATTGGGAATGGAGGAAGGAATGGATGGAAAGCATACTTAAAAACAAAAAGAAAAATACATGAGGTACTGAGGAGAAAGACCTACTCCTAGTCCTAGCCAGAAAAGCTAATCATTGTGTTGTTCACCAAAGCACAAGAGCTCTCATACTAGCTCTTCTGAACCACATTTCAGCTGCACTTGGATTTTATGACCTGTGCTAAAATTGAATATAGATCTAACAAGCATAGTATCTGTGTTAAAACTCAAGCAATTGCTCTGACATTATTTGTGTACTTATAGAGACAATTAATAAGAGCTTGAAATCAGGATTGTCCTAGAAAATCTAGGCCATATAGTTGCCATAGTTATAGCAAACCAATTAAAATCACTGAAAAGTGCTTAGGGTGAAGTACAATCAATGGAGGCACATTCTGAAAACATGGACAAAGACGTATTCGGCAAGCCCTAACAGAACATCAGCTTTAAACCATTTTCCATCCATCATTGTACACAAAGTCATATAAAAACAATGAAGTCTGGAAACAGTCGCTCTTGCTGCATGCGTGCATTTGAGTAAGGCTGTGCTCCTGTGCTTAGGTGACATGCTTTGAATACGTGAATCCTGAGCACACATTTGAAGAGATTAAAAACTCAAAATAGCACAAAACAAGCCAGCAGTAATGAGAAGGCATTTTTACAAGTACAGTAGAATGATGTGTCTTTTGGCATAAAACAAAAGCAATCTCAGGGAACAGTACAAATCACACAGTCTTCTGGTAGTAGCCCATGCTATTGGAGACCTGGTGACACTGCCAATGTAACTAATGAAATCAGCAAGAGGTCCTTCCCCACCCCCACATCCTCCAGAAACCTTCCCATCTTTTTTTCTTGTATTTCACAGTGCCTTTGCTATTAAGGAAATTCATGTATTGTAGGGTGGGGGCTGGCGACCATTCTGCTAAGTAGACATCATTTAATGTGATATGACTAAAATAAACTTTACACATGGGTCATAATTTGGCAATACATCACTATTTCCTGGTGCCTCTGGAATGAAATTTATTCTAGAGGCTTCACTAAATGTCTAGCAGTTTACCAAATGGCCATCTTCTGTCATTGCCTGGACATTCTTTAGTATTGCTTTTTTTTTTCATGGTAATGTGTTTTTCCCTGACACTTCATCTCATTTCTCCTCACGCTACGTTCATCAAAATATAATGGTTTGAAAGATAGTGTTGGTGTAAGGCCGTGGAAGGA